CACAAATGGAATAAATACTGCAGATTATTTAGAAAAAAATTGTTCCTTGTAGCTTGGTTGATGGAGTAGAGCAGCAATCTGCTGGCTGCAGCTGTTCCTGTTATTCTACTGGGTTACCTCTCAGAGTCATGAGAGAGACTGTTTCCAGAGAGGAATGTAAAGAACATAAGTAAAAACTTCCTAAATGGAAAATTACTTAGCCTTTAAAAATGAAGAAGAAAAGTAAAACCTGCTAGTGTTTCATAATCCTCTTAGGACTCTCTCAGCTCATCGAAAGGTAAGAGATTTCTTTCCTCGGGCATGCTGGGCACAGCTGGCTTGCTGTGCCTCCTAATGTTATCACTATATTCATCCAAACTAGGGGTGCTTTTTTTAATGGAAATGCCCTCAGATATTACCTAAAAAAAGAGGAAAAATCTGTAAGTGAATAAAATATATATCAGCTTTCTTTGTTCTGATTCACTTCAGGTTTCACTTCCAGTTTAGCAAATGCGGTGCCAGTAGAAAGCCTGGCTTTTGGTTTGGATGTCCAGAGTTGAGGCTTTCAGTTTGAAGTGAGGGACAGTGCTCCTCTGTGCTGAGCTCTCTGCAGCTCCCTAGTAGATGATACTGGCGTTTCCTTCGATTTTGTAGATAGCAAATCTGCAAACTCTCATAGTAGCTAAGCAACATTTTGGAATGGGAGCGGGAGTCAAGGATTATTGTAACTTTTAGGAGAAAACAGGAGCCAGTAATGTCATGGCACAAAGGCAATGTAATTTCACATGCAGGGTGAATAGGAGGCTTTACCTATAAAACTCATGATACGAGGTGGCTACTTGTTATTGATGATTGATTAGACTTCCATTGCAGTAGTGTACTCGCTTAGAGAGTTGTAGTACAGGAAAGATGGGAACCATAGGTAAAATCCAGAGTAAAATAACATGAATGTTGGTATAAGCAAATATGATGTACAGTGAAAGGTTGGAATGCCATCTCAGTGTGCAGAATATCAAGCATGGTGAAGCATTGAAATACATTTTCCAAGAAACTCGTGAGGCTCCAGTTAAGAACAGAACAGACAGAAGTCTGTCAGGAGCAATACAAAACCTTGCCCTTGGCAAGGAGGAGAGAAAAAACCTAATACCCAAGCTTGCAGTTAGCTTGTTACCAAAGGGAATTGCTTGAACTCTGTGAGATGTTGCACATAAATCTACACCCGGAAGTAAACTTCAAATATAAGAAGAGTTGGAAATACCTAATTTTTTTTCAGGGTTCTGTTCTGGATAAATAAATCTTTGAGGTGCATTGGAAAATTCAGAGGACCTGCATCTTTCCACTGGAAGTTTGTTTTAAGGGAACACAGCTTTTTTTCCCCCCTGAACATTCTTCTCTAGCTTGTGAAGATGTCAGGTGGGGGCTCTGTGTGTGTGTGTGTATTGGGTTCTTTAGTTTTGTGCCTATCAGCATAGATTTTCCTTCAGAACTAATGATGGAAATTGTTTTTGCTTTTTGCTGATCAGAAAAAGGTCCTGCCTTACTAGTTAGTGTCTGTAAATATAGTTCTGGGCAGTCATCTCCATTCACTGAATTCGCCCAAAAGAAGGTAATGGGAAGGAAGAAGAGCTTTTTAAGAATATATATCTATTTTTAGCTGTCCCTTCAGTTCCTTCTGGGAATGTTAATTTATGTCTGAAAAATTAAGACTAAGCTATGTAGAAAATAACAAACCTTTTTTCTTTCTTTGATCAGGAAACCTAATTGGTGTCCTAAAGGTAAAAGATTTTAGATGGTTATATGGTAGTTACATGAAATATATCAGCGTTTCTTGACCGTTAATGACAAGTTTTAATTTCTTTTTTTGTTAAATACAAAGAGCAACTGAAGCTGTAACAGGTTTTCTTGTATGATTTAAGAACACTTCTTCTTTCAACGTTTGTTTCCAATGAAGACTGTCTTATTATGTGTGAGATGTGAAAGCTGTTTTGAAACGTGAGGCTTGAAAATAAGTTGTAAACTACATTTTTAAACCTTTTTACATGTGTAGCTCAACCAGTCTTGTCTGAAACTTACTATTTTAAAGTTTGAGTTCTCTGAACCTATAGCCATCTGTGTATCCAACTGAACAAGTTGTTTATTTTTATTACTTATTTTGAAATTGGAATGTCAGATCAAGTCCTAGTATGCTTTGTATAAAACTCTACAAGCATAGCAGATGAACAGAGACTGGAAAGGCCTGGCAGTCTTAAAAGCCAGAGACAGCTGGAGCCAGCTCAGAACTTGTATTCTGGGTGTCCGTGGCACTTTTGGTTCTTAGTGATGCCACCTGCTCCCCAGAGTATATTTTGAACTCCTGGAAAATAAATGAAAGTCATTTGCATGTAAAAGTGGCACAAGAGGCTGCAACCTTTTTTATGTCATTTTCTCTACATTTTCAGATGTCTCTAAAGTAGAAGGATTTCTGCAAAGGAAAATTTTATTTGGAGAAAGTAACTACAATACTAGTTACGGTCGATAGATATTTCATGTTAAGTCTGTCTTTAAAACCACACTAAATAGCATAATAAAATTACTTACCTGGGAAAAAGACTTTAGGTTTTATAGCGTGTGTGGTGGATGTGATAGTTCCTGAAATTCACTGTATAAAAATAAAAATGGTTAAATGCATTTGAGCACAGTAAGACTTGAAAGACTTAGTGGCACTTGAAGGCCAGAATAGTAAACATGTTGCATTACATTAATAGGAGCAGATAAGACTGTGAATTATGTTGTGAATGCATACATTAAATGGATCAATTTCAAGATAGTATAAACTAGTAGAGATCACAAACCACAGAAAATTAGAAGAGTAAAATAGCATAGGTGCATGTAAAGCAAAAATATTTCTCTGTTCTTTCACTGAGGTTTTTGTGTATGTGATTTAGATGTGGACAAACGACACGGTTTGTACTCTAGATTACCTAGGCTCATGCTACTGAGGACATGTTTCGGTAACTTGGTGTTCTTTAACTGATTAAATATAATCTTACCAGTTAATTCCCAGCTTTGTTTCTGATTTAAAGAAACATTGTTTGGCTTGGAGGAATCACTCATCCTGGAACCTGAAATACTTAAATTTAACTGGAAGGGAATCCGAAATTCTGAGGAAAAAAAGAGTTTAGTTACTAAGGAATAGATTTGGAAAAGGAGAATTATATGTTGTGAAGGTTTTGTGATTTGTCAGAATTTAGATCTAAAAGCATCAGAGTATTTTAAAGATTTAAGTCTACAAAATTCAGCTTGAGGGACTTCAAGCTGATATGGCAGTTGGAATGAGACAGTATGTGCTAATTAAAATCTATCATTTGGGATGTTTCTCAGTTGTGTTTTGATGTAGAATACTGCACTGTGAAAGCTCAGAGATAATTATCTAGCTAAAAAATAAGTTATTGGGAAAAATCTTATAGAATTAGAAACAATTGGGGAAGAATGCCATGTTTGAATGGTTAGTGACATAGTAAGAAAGCTGTTAATGTAAGCATCTAGGAACAAAATATTCGAGTGTCACAAATGTACTTCTGACATTTTACCAGCATCTATTCTCTGTGTATCAATATGTGCTCCTAGAGTATCTCAATACAGTGTTTCAGTACTGGAAAATACATAAGTTTCTGAAACCTGAGCCTGGAAATAGACTTGCACACTGTTTTTCTTTGTAGCTGGACTGTCATGTCAAACTGTCCCCCACCTACTCTAACAGATTCTCTACATTTACTTTCAGTCTTCTGAAAAGAAGAAACTGTTTTCTGTTGATCAGAAATTTAAGTTTGTCTGTAAGAAATTGGATGCTTTTGTTTCACAACTTTCCTCTGGCATTCACGTGCCATAACCACTTTGCTCAAATCTAAGATGTCACATTTTCCCTACTCACCTTGCTACTAGTTTTTAAGCAGAGTAAGCAGTTTCGTCTGTTGGTTTGAACATCTGTCTGTGCCTTCGCCACCACAATTAAGAGTCTAGTTAACTCTTCAGATCAGCTGAAATACAGTTTCACAGTTTTGTGGGGTGCTTATTTGGTTTCCAGTGTATGCCAGCTGAAATGGTAGATCAGAGATGGTATTCATAATCAAAATCTAATTAATTGTATAAATGTTAAAACTTTCCAGACTTACAGCATGTAATAATTTCATATGATTACTTTTGAGGGTTTATTGACTTCTGTGATCAAACTTGGTTTCCCCTTACTAAATTACCAAAGTCTCTTATTCTAAATAGACTTGGAGATCAAAGTAAATTATGACAACCTAAAATCTTAGAAGTTCTGACTCTAGAACTATGCTGCCTCCAACAGGGTTCTTTCACAGGGCAGAGAGTGACTTTACAGCACCATTATGGCTACACAATATTTTCCTGCTTCCGACAGTCATGTCAGGTTGTAATGAGAGGAAGCCAAGGGAGTATTTTGAATTGCATGTTCTGTAATAGCCTAACCTTTTTATTATTGTAGTAGTAATTAACTGTGTAAATTGTTAAATTTTATTGAAAAATGTCACGTTAAAACTGGTGCAATGCAAAAGAGCTCTAATGCATAGAATTCCTTACCCGTTGCAAGTATTTAAAATGTAGGTCACTGCTCCTGCGCGAGGAGTGCCGGCAGAGGGAGCATCCCGGGCTGCCGGCTCAGCCCCGCACCATGAGTGAGGTGCGGGTACCGGCAGCGGGGGAGCACGGCACAGGCTGTTCTGGTGCTGGGATTTGTTTCTCAGATGAAATTAATTACGTTAAGTGGGCATGGCAAAATGTGTAGGTCAAGGACCGTGCTTTCCAGAAACTCAAGAAAGCACTGTTAATAGGAAAGTTCACATTTAAAACCCTATTTAAACATACATAGAACGGTGTTCTAATAACTATAAGCTGCAGCAGTTGAAAATTATCATTCTTGGACTTACGAGCTGTACATGAACTCATATCTTCTATGATACTAGTACAGGTGAGTGCAGGCATATGATTTGGTAAAATATTTTTTAAATTTTCAATTTTAGGGCGGCGGCAATGACTCTAAGAACAGTGTTGTTATCACTGCAAGCATTGTTGGCAGCTGCAGAACCAGATGATCCACAAGATGCAGTAGTGGCAAACCAGGTAAGATAATCAGTTGACCGTAATTTTGTGACATTTCTATAAACCTTTGCTGACTCAGGTTAGGTCCCAAACCTTATGGGAGATAAAGATTTGAAACAATTTATTGGAAAATAACCATATAGTAAGTGTGAATTGCTATTGCTACAGTGTTTTGTGCTCTTTACTCTTTAAACTCCAGAGTAAGTAGTGGTTACTTTACAGTGTCAGGAGTTTTATTTTGTTAGTTTTGTCCCTTATTTATATCACCTTGTGAGAAATGTCAGGAGATAACAGCATAGTAAAATGAATGCCAGGATAACTTGCCTTTTAAAATCTAACACTTCTAGTATAACAAAAGCAATACTATGTTGGTTTAAAATGAGTTTTTAACTTGATGGTGTTCATTGGATTTGACTTGGTATGTAGCTCCTCTTCCAGATTAATATGAATATTGTTGAGCACTGTATTTTTTAATGTCAAAATTTTATGAATAGTGACTTGGGGTAACTTGGGACAATGTTTTAATCACTGGTTGGATTGGTATCAGTAAAATTCTATAATCAATAAAATTTGTTACTTTTCAGTCAGTAGCGATAACTTGTAATACAAATAAATAAAATGTCAGTTGGATCTTATGCCATACCAGGACTGACATGATTCTATTTAAAGTGTAGGTGAAAGACAGAAAGTCATTCCATAGCTTCATAGTCTGACAATGCTCAACAGAGTCCCTAGTGCGTGTGTGATTTCCTTTTTACTATGGGGAGAGAGAGGCAGCCTGGCTTCCCCACTCACTGGTAGTAAGGGTGTATTTCAGGAACTGAGGAACAAAGCAAGGTGATGCTGGGAGAACCTTCTATCTCACCTATGTCTTTTGTAAGTCAGGACCCCTCAGGATAGGGTGACAAAGTGTGCACTCTTTCCCTGTAAAATAAGCAGTTTTTCAAATCTGTCAGGGTTTGAAGGGAAAAATGGAGATCGGAGGTAGCCCACTGTGCTGCTGGGTGGGGGAGAGTTGTTTGCTAGCATTATGCTCAGTAGTAAGTACAGAAGCCTTACTTGTGTGGTTCTGCAGTAAGGCTGCTCTCATCAAATGTCCCTGAATAGTTCTGTCAGACTGAATTACTCTGCCCAGGGAGAAGTGTTGCCAAGGCCAGCAAGGCTACCACGCGTGTCCCTGTGCTGGCTTTTCTTGCCAGATGTGTGCCCTTGCTGTCACACTCTCTCTTCATTAAACAAAACCACTTTTTCCTTTTTTACAAAGAACAAAAATAGTGTTTCCTGTTCTGGCCCTGATGGTAGACTTTTGTGCGGGAATCATAACAGTCTTGTAAAAGCACTTGAGCTGGAAAGAGTATTTTCTCAGGCAAAAACCTTCATGAAACTTCGTAGATTCCAAAGAGCAATTTTCCTGCCCCTCAGCTGCTTGTGGGGATGTGTCCAGTGGGACTCTGGCATGGCTGATGTGGGGAGAATTCATTTTATCCTGTTCCTGCAAATACCTGCATGAAAACTACATTGGGGTTTGGCCTTGAGTTAGAGGCATGTGTATGTAAGTAGAAAGTGATTATAATGGTTTTGAGAGGTGTGGTGGTAAACTCCCACTTCCTTCATGTGTTTTATTTGGTGTTGGGGTCTCTTACTTTGAGGTTGATTGCTTTTTTTTCCAAAACAAAAATTCACAAGGAATTAATTATCCTCTACACCTCTTAAGTTAATTTACTAAACTATGTGTTGTCCAGGTAAATGGCAGTGTCCTGCAAGCTCTTGAGCTGAATCCCAGGAAGAACTGCTTGAATAACAGCAGCATTTTCAGACACCAGCTGCCTGGTGTCAAAACTACCTCAACTAGCTGCTGGTTTTTTTCAGTACAGCAACATTAACTGCCTCAGATTCCTGATAGAGAGACATCAGGAAAAGTTGCCTTTAGGCTTTTCTCAATTCAGTGAGAAGCTAGATTATTTATAGATACCTAAGTAAAGGAATTCTATTAATAGCACACTGAAAGCTAGTTCTGAATAAAATGCAGTTATGACTAATCCTTTGCACTTCAGCTAGTTGCTTTCTAGGTTTGGCAGTGTTCTCAAAAATATTTTTTAAAAAATTAATTGGGGGAAGATCCCTTAAGAGCAGAAAAATATAGTACTTCAGGATGCTACTGATGCCAAACTTAATCCTTCCTCTTTTCTAGTCATTTCAACAAAAGAAATTTATTCCTGACCACTGTATTTATAATAGTGAGTTATTTCCAACAACAGACTGCCTCCCATGTTTGTTTTAATGCCATTAATAACCAGATAGTAAATATACAAATTACATCATGTGGATCAGCACTAGAGGGAGGTGTGCAAGGCACACAAAGTGGTGTAGTTGGTGTGTTTTTGTAGGAGGGGCAAAAGGAAATGCACAGCATTTGACTGTGCTTTATAGATTTAAAGGCTTTTTCATATATGAATGAAATATTTAAGCATTATAGTCAGCCATGTTTCTGTCCTTAAAATGCGGATATCTAAATACTTGAAGAATATACTTCCTATTATCTTGTCTTATTATTTAGTGCTAAAATATATTAAATATCTAAAGGTGGGGCTGAAGTGCTGATTTAAAGGAAGAGTTTTTTTAAGACAAAAAACTGGATATTGCATACAAAGGTTGCTAAAATGGGAAACTCATTTAACTTTTCTGAGTACAATTTGTGACAGATGACCCACTTTCTTGGCTTTTGGGTTCTTGGCACATGGAGAAAGTTCTCTGCGATATAGTCCATTGAGTTGTTTGTTAGGAAACTTGTTAGTCGCAAGATCGGTGCAAAATAACATACTTACACACTGGCATGGGTTTTTTTCTGGTAAATAGTAGCTTGCCTGAAGAGTTGTAGCTCCCTGTTTTTGCTCGCCTGTTTTTCAGCCTTTCTTTTGTCACCCGTGTGATCAGTATCCTTATTCTTGGGAAGAAGCCTGGTAGTAGAATGTTAGTCCTGACTAAAAACCGCAGATCTACTTTCAGTGCATAAAGTCAGATATATTTTTAAGTGATTAGAGAAATGCATTAGAGTAGTATGCAGTACCCGTGTTCTGGAGATTGTTAACACAGGGATAATTTGTGCTCTGCCACACTGATTATAAATTTTCAGTAGCTGTGCGAAATATAGATCCTTTACTTTTGATCACTGCAATTGAGAGCAGTACCTACTTGTACACATGAAATACCCATAGTGCATCATTTAACCTGGAGGCAAACTCATTATATCAAATGCTTGGATAGATTTACTCGTGTAATCCTCACCTCTAAATTTATTTGGAAAATAGCAACATGATCAGTATGAAACGCTGTTGAAGATATTGTAGGAAGAATGATGTATTGTAGTCTTCCATATCATCCTGCTGTTTGGTTGGATTGCTGAGTTGATTTAACTTTTCCCTTCTCCTCCTCTCTCTTTTGTGTAGTACAAACAAAACCCAGAAATGTTTAAACAGACAGCTCGACTTTGGGCACATGTGTATGCTGGAGCACCAGTTTCTAGTCCAGAATACACCAAAAAAATAGAAAACCTTTGTGCTATGGGCTTTGATAGGGTAAGTATATATAACTTCAATATTTTTCAGTAGGGGCAGGGCAAGTATATGTGTATAAATGCAGAGAGTAATCAGTATACTAAAGTAGATTTGCTACTTCTGTGACCTTTTGTAGGTCTAATCATTCTGTTTTGCTACTTATTTTTAAGAATTGGAGTAAAATACTACATTACTGATGAATCTTGTGAGCTACCCCTGCCTTTTTGAAACAATTTTTCTATAAATTATTTGTTGGAATTTAATAAATGGTAAACTAACATGTTCTGAATAATCTGTGAACTTTTCATTCCACTTCTCAGAGCTGCAGGTTCACACACTGAAAATATTATTGCTTTTGTTTTCTCATTGCAGAATGCAGTAATAGTGGCCTTGTCTTCAAAATCATGGGATGTAGAGACTGCAACAGAATTACTCCTGAGTAACTGAGCCATATAGAGAGAGCTGCTTCTGTAGTCCAGCTTGCCCCTTCTGGAGGAGCATCACCATCTGTTATCCTAGGATTCTATATAGATTCTCTTTCAAAACTGGCACTCTTGCCTGATGATGCTATCTAGGCACTATTGGAGACTGAAAAAAGCGCTCTGTAAATAAAGCTAATTAAACGTCTGTGTAAATTTAAAAAGGGGAAATACTTTAATTTTTTTTCTTACTAAATATTGTAAAAATTCTTTGAGCTCAGCTAAGATAATGGGGAAAAACATGCCTACTTTAGTGTTTAGCAGTGTGACGAAGACTAGCAGGAACTTGCTTCAGGATTTTGATTTAGTAATTCAGAAAGCAACATTTTTGAGTGTTAGTCATCAAAATTGTTGGTGCCACTCATCACAGTTATCTTACTGTTTTTAACATGGATCCTATGTGCCTGTGGATTGACCTATATTTGCATGCTTGTACTTAATAGACATATTAGGTAGGGTTGCTGAAGAGAGCACCATGGAAATACTCGTTTGCTTTTGTAACTTTTTTCCTGACAGACTTTCAAGACTTACCCAAAGTTCCAAATGGTGAGCTACTCAGAACCATTTTCTTTCTAGCTTATTAATTGGGAAACCTGATTCTCCTCTCCCTTACATCATACTGTTGATTATGTTTCATCATCTATAGGTATTATGTGTGCCATTACAGTAGTCTAGGCTCCCCTTTAAAAATATATATTTTGAATTATCAGTAATGATTTTCATCCATCATGTTTTCTACACAATCATGGAAGGAGTATGCCTCGATACAGCACAGAAACATGGAGCTGGTTTCATTTCCTTTTTTTTGGTCTTAAATAGCTGTAAAGTGTTCTTCAGTACCTGCTGGATAATATGATTTCATGGTGTTTGAAGGGGGACAAAGCTGATTCTCCAGCATACTGAGAAGGAAAAAAAATTTTTTTGAGTACTTGATATGATGCAATCAGCTGTTTTTTGCAGCAGTTTTCTAGCTTTATTTTGGGCTTCAATTTAAGGATTGCTTACTAGGTACTTTAAAATTCATCCTTGCTTGCATTTTTCTCTGGTTAACACATGGAGGCTGTGGTGGTGTTTTTACTGTACATACTTCAAATGCTCATAGAAGTAGAAGTGTGTTCTCAATTTAGCTTTCTTTTGGATTGATGTTTCTGATAAACGAGAACTGAAATCTTTCCTTGGCTTGTACATACAGTCAGTCTTTTTATTTGTATTAAAATGACATTTCATCCTGAGTGCAAAAGCTTGAAAATTATTAGTTTTGCAACTTCAAACACTAGTACATCTATTTAAAGAGAGCTGTAATGTCTTTGTGAATATGATGCTAACTTTTGAGAATATATCTGACAAGGAAGTTCAGAGAAATCCTGAGACTAGAGAATAGGGATTGTGGATAATGGAGTACTGTATAAGTCATCTTTTCTATGACTGTTTTGTTTTGCTGGGGTTTTTTTCTCCTAAACTGTGGACTAATGGGGTGGGGAAATATATGCCCGTTTCGGGTTTTTTCTAGAGCTATGAAGTTCAAGTTGAAATAGTTTCACACTTCATAGTCTGTTTATAACTCATACTAGAGGAAATCAGGAACATTATGGTATCTGTTAAATACCTGGAGCATAGTGGTAGGGGAACAGAACCAGAAAACAGAGCTGTAGAGACCTGGCTAGTTCAGGGATGTTCCCTGTACTGCTCTGTCTGATGTGTCCAAACTTAAAATAGGGCACAGACAGTAAATACTTTGAACTCATATCAGTGCAATACTAAATGCATTTGCTTAGTCTTTATACTTACTGCTTTTTAAGGTGTAGTCAGTGACCAGTTTTCTTGAGTTAGTGTAAATCATTTGCAATGATGCCAAAGGAAATGAGTTGTTTTGACTTTCCTTGTATTTATTTATTTTTTTTTAAACAAAAAGCTGCTACTGTCCAGCTGGTTTGCTAGGTGGAAACCAGGGACAGTAGGAAACTGGCAAAATGCCACTTGTGTTAATCTCAAGTTGCTGTCTTTCTGTTATACAGGCTAAGAACTTTTTGATTACATCAACACCTTTTTTTTTACCCTGGTGGTAAATATGAATCGCTTACTACTTTCCTTTGTTCTTCGCTGCTATTTATCAAAAGAAAGAACTTGGAAATCATTGTTGGGGACATAAAAATTCTCAGTTATGGGCTTCTGAACTTGTCTTTTGATAAGACTAGTCTCCTAAGAACAGCAGGTTTTTCCAACAGTATGTAAAGGGATGAATGAAGCCGGGGAAAGGGGGAGAGGGAGAAAAGGGGAAATGGTTCTTAGGTGAGTATGGTCACCTCTGAAAGAATGCCCTGTTAAGTTTTACTTCTCTCATGGAGTTACCTCATTTTCTTCTCTACTGCAAAATACTTTTGTCTTTCCCTTCCCCCTTATGTATAAATGTTGGATTGTGGGTTTTCCCCTCCATCCATGTGCTCGGTAGCTTAATGCTAGCTCAGGTGCTGGCAGGAAGCTTCTCAAGAAGTGAGCTGGGAAAGAAATGTGACCCAGCATAAAGGAGACACCTGTGGTCTGAAGTCCCTCTGAATTTTGACATGTGACTCCTTTATAAGGAATGTTTTTGTATTCTTGGTAATTATCAGAGTTGAATATAGGGATAATGTTGTACAAGGTTAGTTTAACTGCAGCTGGGGCTGAGCCCTAGGAATTTTGCTTTTAGTGTTCAGTTTATCATTGTGAGTTTGTACATACAAATGGTAGTTCTGTTGTCTGTATCACTGAACGTCACTATATTCAGGGCCCTGTGCGTCCACAGGACGTGGAGTTGCCAGACGTGGAGTTGCCGTGCAGTCCTCTCCAGCTGTGCAATTGGGCTGCACATTTACCACTTCCTTAAAGCAAGAACACGAAACATGGGTACAGTTGCTTTCTCAGTACAGATAAACCCTCCATTGTCTTCCTCTATTGTGCCAGAAGATGGCTTGAAACAGTCATTTTGAAGCTTAAATGGCCCCATTTTTCTAAACAAAATATTGGTAATGACGCTTATGGATTGCCAGAGCGTCCATTGGATTTCACTGCTGAACATTTTAACATGCATCCAGCAAAATGGTTTATCTTATCTCATCCAGTTCCTCCAAGAGCATAGTAGAGTTCTGTTCAGAGGTAGAGAAATGCCCTTTCCTGTTGCCAAAAGCTCTGTTTTCCCATGAGTACCAAAAGCCCTGACTGTATCCCACCCCCTTGCCAAATTCACAGCTTCCTCCCGTTGCTTCTGTGAACAAGCTGTGTTCTCAGCATGACAAACCGTTGCATTTTGAAGACAAAAAACTTAGATACATACCCTTCTGGAAAGATATGTTAGTGCTATTTATTCTGCATACTCCCAACTTTTTTTTTTTTTTTTAAAGCTTACCACAGAGTACATGGGGCTTTGACTATAATTGGTTTGGTAGTATTTATCCGAGTAATTAGGTACTACTGGCTTACAAATGTGTCTTAGGGTTTTTTTTAATTATCACTGTATTCAACTGTTTTCCATGTAAATTAGTACTGGAACGCTGACATAAGGAATATAGGATTTTTTTTGTTTTGTCTAAAAGGAGGAATTAAAGAGCCAGAAAGAATCTTACCTTGTAACACCAAATCTGCATTAGATGGTGTGGGTAACAGAAACATTTAAACTATGCAAATTTAAGCTTAACAGCTGTGACTCAGACTAGGCACTTCAGAGTATATGGATTGCTTATGTCATCGGGGAAGGGAGAAGGGGAGTGGGGGGAAATCAAAACACATGCTCAAGCAAGACTTCTTGTTTACTGCATTGGTCATGCACTGTGATGAGTAAGTGTTCCATTTTTAATGCAAGGGGAAACCTAACTGTGCATGTCCTGTTTCCTTCCAAAACACCAACAAAAGCTGGCTTAGACTTGGAGGCTTGCCCAGAGGGGGAAATGTTAAATAATTTAGCAGAAAAAGTTGGTTTTACTTAGTGTCTGCTGATGAGCAGAGGCAACAGGAAGATGAGGTGTCCTCTCCTGCTCTGGTTTGTTGATGGAGTTGATGAGTGTGGCCACTGATTTGTCATCAGGTGCTTGGTTTTGTATGGTTTTGTTGAGCAGTTTGGCTCAACAAGAGATAGCAAAAGTGCATTTCGTCATCATCTGTTGCATCACAGAACTAAAGCATGGAAGTCAAGATGATTGTTGGGTGCCTAAGGCCTCTTCTGGGAAGACCATATAGACGTTTTCATAGGTACCATCCTCGTTTTCCAGGCACAGCTTTCTCCTAGGGCTAGGCAAAGCGGCAGTTGCTTCTCTCTTGCTAGTTTTCTGATCTGTTCCAAACCTATCTGTGAATGATGTAGCTTGCTCTTCCCACTTGTGGTGTTAGTGTCATCAGCTGACTCATCATCAGACTCACAAGACCAACTGCCATCAACGCATTTGGCTTCTGGCTTGGTTATTCCAGCTGCAGTGCTCTGTTGGCAGCAACTTGACTTCAGATTTGTTCTCACTAGACAAACTCTTGCGAATCATTTGCCCTGTACTGTGCTGTGATGTTCCTTCTCTGCTGTTACCTGCTTTGTAGGCATTAAAATAACTACAGGATCGCTCATGGTGCTGAGCCCTTCATCAATAATGTAAGTTCAGGTCCATGACTTGACAGACGAGGAAATGTACTGTGAAAATGCTGTACTTGTCTGGTTTGCAATTTGCGGCAACTGCTGGTGCTCTGTGCAGTGTCAGAAGGAGGCTGCCATCATAGGAATGCTGATGTCAACTGCTGAAGAACCCTGCTTTTCTTACCTTTTCCATCCTAAATTCTGACTTTTCTAGTAAATATATATTTACCAATAAATACTGCAGGAAGTTGCTTCCTAAGCATCAGACTTCCTGTAGAAGAGGAGGGGGGAGGGGGGCTGGAATGCAGCATCAGTGTTTTTTGTCTTGAAAATAAAAACTACACAAACACTTTTGTACACAAATAATTTTTAAAATAAACACACATTTTAAAAGATGTTGATTTTCACTGGGAATGCTTAACAATAAATGCATGTTTCCCTGAAAACAGTTTTCATTTTATTTCTGGCAATTTAGATTATTTTGAGATTACAGGGTCTACTGCCTCCATGTCAGTAACAAGAGAGAAAGGGATGATCATTTTCATGGTGCATCTTAATAGTTTTTGAAGAAGAAAATTGTGTAAATATAAGTTGTGTAACGGAAGGGTGTGTTATTTCAGCGAGGACTGCCTCTTGTGATGGTCTGGGAAATACAGGTACAGCTGCAACACCTTGTGTATCCCTTCAAAGGCTGCATCTGAAGGAACAAAGCCAATAACTCACAGAGGAAAAACTTCTCTTTGGATTTTCCAGCACCACTCATGTTCATGTCATCTTTGTGCATTTTAAACTGTGTACCTCATATAAACTGCAGTTGGTTCTTGCACTGGGAGGTGACAGCCTGTTGGGTAATAACACTGCCCTGGTGTTCAGCTGTAGAAGAATCTAGTAGAGATCACGGCTGTGGATTTGCTACCAGCACAAACTATTCATTTTGGTGTTTGTCAGCATTTCTTAAATGGAGTAAAGCGGTTTGAAGACAGTGGCTGTGCAGCTGAAGCAACGAGCAGCGAGTTTGCTGTGGAGCTGGTTATAATTCTGTTTCAGATCTACGTCCCATCTTCAGGTGTGTCTTTGTCCCTGGGCAGGTTTTGCAGGTTTTTGGGCAGGCTCTAACAGCTGGGATAGTGCTGCACAGTTTTATGGTGTAAGATGATGTTTGGGTTTTTTGTTTAATTTACTGTCATCGGGAGCTGTGTCGTATTGTGGTACCTCATTTTTTAAGAGGGGTGAGGGAGAAGGAGCACTTCCCCAGCCCCCCTCTCCTGTGGGTGGGGGCTTCTCTTAGCCTGACATCAATTCAGAGAAATGAAAAAAAAAAATGAAACCCATATTTCCTAATTCCTGTAGTTAGACACTGACATGAGTAACTGAGAGCTGCTTTATACTGGAATACTTGTGAAGTTGTTCAACAGCCTTGTCATTTCTTCCAGCCTCCCAAAACTGGAAGCGAGTTCACAGCTGAAATGGACTGATGGTGCTTGCTAGCTTGACTCGTCCTGTACTTACTTTTCTGTTTCAGTGGCTGTAATACTGACACATTTGGCTCTCAGGCGGGTAACTGATACCTCCAATACAGCAAATCCAGGATTTTAAATTGTTTTTAAGGTCAAGTCTGGATCTGGAGCACCCGTGTCTGGTATAATGTCAAATAAATTACATTGCTTCACTTAGTGGCTGCTTTGTGTTGAAATACATGAAGCCTTTAGGTGGGTTTGTGACAACCTCGTATAAAATAAAGGGTAATCAGCAGGGATGGTGAGGCAATACGAGTGTGGTGGTGCTGGGGGGGAAAGGGGGGAGAGAAGCTGTTCTATGCTGATGTTATCTAAGCCACCAGACCCTTTAGCAACCCAAGTCCTCCATGTACAGCTGCCTTTGCTTGCAAGTGTGGTGCAGGGCACCAGAGTGCTTTGCTTTCCCTGCCCTGGTTTCTTCCCTTCCTCCATCTTTCCCAAATCCTCTTCTCACAGCTGGCAGTTTAAGAATGTGATAGACAGTGAGTAGTCAAAGCTCCTGCTGATCCTAAGAGGTTTGGGAACTTCCCTGCAGCTCAGCCATGTTACTGTTTCAGGGCAAATCTGGCTGTCCCCATTTTTAAACATCTATCTGCTGCCCAGGTGCAGAGGTGGGTAGGAGGGTGGCTTTCTTAAAGCAGGAACATTTTACTGGTTACAGCCCAAAAAGATAAAAGCCAGTTATGCTCCAGTATGGATTTTGGTTCAAAAACAGGCCTGGAACTGGCTGGTCCCATTTCACACTGCAGTCAGCCATAACAAAGAGCGAGCACTGGAAATCATGTAATGGCCACAGCTTTATGTTTCCCTCAGCATAAGGCTGAAGAGCAAACAGCGGACACAAAGCAGGTCCCAGGTGTTACTGGATGTGCTGGCCATCACATTTTCACCTTGCTGCGAAAAACCGTGGTGTGTGATTTATCTGTGTAGAAAGTGGTTTAAAACACTGTCAGTTCAAATAGAATGAAAACACCTGATATTTACAGCTTTTACTGTTAAAGAGGAAACAAGAAATTAATCCTGTATATGAACTTCCTAGAGGTGAATGACCTGCTGGGATGGGGCAAGGGGGACAGATGTTCTCCCTCTTTTGCTTGGCATACATGTTGCCCTCTATAACTTATTCCACATTGAAGTCCTTCAGTGGTCTGAACCACATCAAAAATACTAGGGTAAACTGTCTCCAGGCCATACTTGTCAGGAGAGAGAACTGTTCAGAAGCAGACATGTATGAACAAAGTAGTTACCAAAAGTTACTATACTGAGGTGGAGGGGGAAAAAAACAAAAGCACAAACCAACCCCAAAAGGTTCTTAAAAACAGAGGGAAAGAGTTGTTCTTTGTATTGTTCAAGTGCCATTCTTTTTGCCTGAGAAAGGTTCTCATCTGTGAGGAGTCATCAAGGGGGAAGAGCAGAGTCCTGCACCTGGGGAGGAACAATCTCAGGCACCAGTACAGGCTGGGGCAACTGGAAAGCAACTCTGCAGAGATGAACCTGGGGATTCAGGGTCTGGACCAAGTTGAACATGAGTCACGAACCTGTACTCGTGAGAAAGGCAGCAAACTGTCCTGGGCTGCATTAAGCCAAGTGTCACCAGCAGGCTGAAGGAGGTGATCCTGCCCCTCTGCACAGCCCCGGTGAGGGCACATGGAGTGGGAGTGCCAGGTCCTGCTCTGATGAGTTGGGCTGGAGGCAGCTGGCTGTCCACACAAGCAACTGTGGACTAAGGGGTCTGTGTCTGTTCAATGTCGCTGCAAAAGAAGCAAATAGACACAAAAGGGCCACATCCTGTAGATGTGAAATGACAAAGCCCTCTCAATAGCAAAAGGTTAAAAAACACCCCTCACCAACAAAAACCTAAACACCAACAAAAAACCAACCCACATTTTGGCTTAAAATTACGATGTTTTGGAAAGAAAGCAGCTCATTGATGCAGAATCAAATTACATTCTGGTATCATCTTGACCAACTGCTTTGGGCAGCATCCAAAACCATCCTCAAGAAACAAGTCACATAAGGAAAATGCTTAGAGCAGGAACCCTGCCCTGCTCCCCTGGCAAAGACAAAGAGTATCCTTGGCATGTGGTGCGGTTCCCATGTGGTGGGGGAAGGGGCTTGGGCACTTGGGTAAGTGGTCTTTTGGAAGAGGAACTCATTACCATCAAGGCTGAAGAGTGACCAAATAAAAAACAGATTTGAGCTCCTGAGATCTGAAGAAGACGGCAAGTCAGTCTTACTAAATTTCATAGGAAGGCCCCTCCACCTGTGCTTGTAGCTCTGGGGGTGGAAGTGCCCTCACAAACAGCCAAACAGTATCTAATACCTGATGGTTATGTGGGAAAGCATTGTGCTGGTCAGACACAACATGCTTGGAGAAACTGTGTAGGAGATGCAGTGGTGCCACAGCACTGGTGGTGCCCATCCCCCTTTCCACAGGCACAAAACAAGCCTCAGGGAGCAGTAGTTTACAGACAGCCTGGGGGGAGGATGAGTCAAGGGGGTGGATGCAGCAACCGGCATTTTAGCTGTGACCAGGTCATGTACAAGGGACATGATCTCAGGTTAGTATTAAGTGGTTGGGAGTAAGTTTGGCCTGGAAATACTCTAAAATCTCACCAGGAAAATGGCTTTGAAACTTGGAAAGCCACAAGAGATGACCGTATCTACATCATGGTCAACACAGCAGGACTGTAAATGCCACTGTGAGCTTCTATGTACAGTGTATGAGGGTTCGGTGATTCACACACTGTGGAAACCAGAAAGGATTGAAAATACACCCTCCTTCTGGGTGGGGGGATGCTGGATCTCCTGTGATAGCTTGTTATAGTCCAGACGACCAGAAAAACTTTCCTCAAGCATCTGGAGATTTGGCTATTCAGTGCATGTTGACAGACTCTAAGGCAGCTCCTGAGGTGACAGTGTGGCTCACAGGCTGGATGACAGCACAGTAACACACAAGTTACGAGAACCTGCAAGACAGGTGCACTGTGAGAAACACCCCACCTGACAAAGGGTGTAACAGCAGCAACCAGTGCTGACCTAGGGAGGATACCTGCTCTGAACATCGGGTCTTTCTGGGAAAAGCAGAGTTAAAAAGCCTGTTACTAAAGCAGAGCCTGATAAACTGTGAAGTGCAGGCTCCCCACAAGCATCAGAAATGAATCATGGCATGGAGTCTGCTTTCTCCCCAAATCCTTTTATGCTCAAAACTAAGCTCACGTAGACGGAAATGAGAAGGTAATGCAGAAGATCAATGTGCAGGCATGATTGGATACAGCAAAGGGAGTCTGGAAGAACAGCTGGGAAGCAATGTACTGCAGCTGGAAGACTGAGAAAAGGGGATCACAAAGGGCACTGAGGAAAGGTACAGAGCTATTGTGGTCATGCCTACACCAAGAGTGTGCATAGCAGCCTCCTTGTCCATGTCCCAGCCTGAATCCTGTCCTGGTGTAACAGTATATGGAAGGATAAACAATGGTTGCTGCTACCACCATCCAGAATAATTTATCCAGACTACAAATTGCTCTCTCCTTTCCTGGGAACACTCAGGGATGGAAGGAGGTGATGTCCTGAATTACTTGAGCAGTGACAGCCTCTGCTAATTTCACAGGAAGTGGAGAAGACCTTATCCGTGGGCAGCAGGGAGCACAGGGCACCCTGCATGCACTCTGGAGACAGCACATAACTGATGGCTCAGACCTTGGCCACCAGCACAAACCTGGCTTGTTTCTGGTTTGGGGGCAGTACCGAGATGAATGATATAGAGGCACCTGAATATATGCCAAAGTAAATGGTATTCTGAGTTTCCACTCATACCACAGAGCAAAATATTCTGAGTGTCCCAGCTTTCCCTGGGGTAGGGTGCAGGACTATGTGCCCGCTGCCCCGCCAGACGCTGGCTATTGCAACTGTGCCATGCCAAGGTAAGAAATCAGATGATTGCCTATGAAGTTTCTAAAGCACGCAGTGACTCCCCACCTGCTTTACAGCCATCGGACCCAATAGAAACTCAGCCATAATCACCTACCATCTCTTTCTTTGGAAGCTTTGGTGCATCATAGTCAACACATCAATGAGAGAAGAATTAAATGCCTGAACTTAAGGAGCAAAACATGTATTTCTTGTTCTGGAACACACCTGTCTTGCAGCGTTATGCACACACATCTGAGCTCTCACGGCTGCAGGGTGGCAGGAGGACGCTCAATGTACCAAAGCGATTTGGTCATGCTTCTTGCCTGAGCTGGCACACTGCTGAAACTGCACTGCTGCCAGCACAACTTCAGCAAGTTAAAAATTAGCTTGGATAACCTCTGTGCTCCCACTGAAAAACAGACATGTCTCCTGTTGGCTGTCCATTTTTGTTGCCCATGGATGTTTCCGCTCTGCTGACCATGGATGTAGCTGTGCAGTTGAGGAATCTTCCAGGTTCAAAGTTGAACGGCTTCTTAGAATCATTTCTTGCCAAAGCTGAAGGGGTCACTGTGAGCCTGACTTCCTCCTGTTGGCTTGTAACACCTGCCACTGCCATCCTACATTCCCCTGACAAGTTTGTCATGACTTTCACTGGGCAGGGAGAAGATGCCCTGTTGCAGGTCAGAAAGGTGTTTCCATCAGGTTAACAGGACTTTTTCCAGGGCAGTGGTATGATGACTGCACACTGCCTGATATGATACCAAGGCGAGAAAGAACATGCTCACAGCACCTTTTGGCACGTGATGCTGTCTGAGTTCAGGTGCAATGCTGCTCCTACCAACTACTGGAGGACACGTGGCTGTGCCTTCGGCTCTTGCAGC